CTCTTCAAATATCTTGCACCTTTTAGAAAAATCGCTAATTGCAAAACATCGTGAATTTTGATTTTTCTCGCGTTGTTGCATTTCGAGTTGGTTTTTTCCAAGAAAAAGGTGAACATGGCCTGCTTCACGCACGGATATCACTTTCATTTTGATCTGCCCGTACCAACGAGGTTACTTCCCTTGTGAGAATAGAAAATGTAGTTTAATGATGATTTCATTTGATGATGTACTAATCCATTAACGAAAAACACATTTTTCATTCTTACTAACCTCTTTCAGCAAGACATCAGCAATCACAAAAGCAGCATTTATAAAACTATCCTGATTGCTGTATTTATCATGGTTACTCCTTCCGGTTTAAATATCAAATAATGAAAAATGTTTTTTTCTATCATCATCATCATCATTATGATACAAGTTGAATGGATAATAAAAAATAATTTTTATCATCTTTCATCATTTTCCATCTTGAACAACATGAAACAACATTTTAATGGCCAATTAAATTACCATTGAAAGGCAATTTACTTATAAACATGAATATATCCTTTCAGTATAAGTACATGCATCCAAAGATGAGCAAAATAATGTAAAGATAAATTAAGTAAAATAATCAAATCTCTCAACCATTTTTACTCAACATTTTATTGTTTTTCCGTTTTCATTCTGACTTTTCCTCTATTCAACAAAACGAGCACAAAAGATGCTAAAGAGAGTAAACAGAAAAGGCAGCAAAAAAATTAAACTTGTATCTAAATTTTGTCAAACATGAAATTGTACCAAAATGTTTCAAGTTGGCAATATTGCAAGAAGACGACAAAAAAGACTGATCAAGAATCACATTAAGTTTGACATTCAGCAAAAGCCAAGATTATCACCATTTGATGAAACGAGTTGAATTTAAAAATTGAAGATAAAAAATCGTTTAAGTTTCCACTCTTATCCTTATTGCATTAATATCTGTCCAAGTCAAGATGCTCAGTTTAATCTCGACCTTTCTTCATTCTCAGAGTATTATTTTTATCAGAGTTTTACTTTTTTGTCAGACGAAAAATGTACACTTTCATGATAGTTGCTTGAGTTGCCTCTCATCCTGTAAATCATATCACAGCAAGGATATTTTACTTTGAGAAGTTTGTCAATTCTTCCTCACTAACCAACAACACACTCCAAGTGTTTACAACTTTTTTTCCTCTTCTCTTGTTTTGCTCTAAACAACTTCTCAGCATTCTCATCTTTATCATTACTTCTTCTTCAATCAATCTGGAATCAGTTTAATCTTTTCTCATCCTCATCAACTTACCTTCAACATTTTTGCCCATCGCAAGACACAAGACGCAGTTGCAACAAAATGAAGAGAGAGAAAACTCAGAAACTTTAACTGCAACCAAAATTCATCATTTACTTTCCTCATTCCCAGTCATTTACTCTTCATCCATGTCAACAGTTTGTATCTTTCACCAGAGTATAAATAAATCCTCAAAGTTATTGTCTCAATTGACTAAATACACTTTGGAATTAGAGATTAATTTGATAATCTCGGTGGACATTTTGTTCTGAAAAGAGAGAAGAAAATTTCCATCATTTGATAAATTAACCTCAATTGTTAATCAACAGTTATATTCACGTAGATATTGCAATATGTTGCTATCAACAGTGTGACCAACACATTATGCCATTGCCAATCATAATCATCCTTTTGTTCTTGAAGCCAATCAATAAAAGTTATCCAAACCAACCATTCTGATCAATCATTTCATGTTTGTACAAGCCAAAAAGTGAAGGGAAAAAGTTTTTCACCAGAAAACAAAAGTTGCACCAAATCAGAGTCGAAACTCGTTTCAACAATTCACCTCAAATCTTGTGTTTTTGGATAATTTGTGCTTTTATATTTACTTTTCATATCTAAAAGTTATTGTCAAAATTCGGATAAAAGTTGTGAATAGTCAATATCAGATACAAACCCTTTCCATGTCTTTACCAAATATCGATATAATTGAGAGTCTTATTGAGAAGAAAAATCTTTCTCAACAGACTTGTGAACCTCCAATCGATATAAGCTCGTTCAACTTTACCGACTATGATTACCAACGAACCCATGGAATTTTCAGAGATTTCAACCTCAAAGAATATTGCAAAATTTTCTTTTCTCTTTTCGTCATTTTGATATCAGTTATTGGTAATATTGGAGTTTTGTTTTCATCAACTTTTAATCGTTCCATTCGTCACACTATACACATTTATCTATCGAATCTGGCCATTGCCGACCTTTTCATTTCCATATTTTGCATGACTGTTTTCCTAATCAATAACCTAACGGACCCATTGTTCATTCTCGGACCAATTGTGTGCAAGCTTAATGCATTCGTGCAAAGTGAGTACAACCTTCAAGTTTTTTTATTCTTGAAACTCAAGGCTACTTCAATGATCGGCAAAAACATTTTTCTCCAACTTTAATTCCATGTTATTCAGTGAACAAAAAACAACTTGATGATGAAATTATGGTGTGAAAACTTGAATTGCAGTTAATTTTTTAAATAGAAACTCTTGTCCATTATTCTTTTGATTCAAGATTCGTTGGGAGTTTTCACTCCCAATAGTTTGACTTGATAATGTTAACAATATCTTCATTAGCAATTAAAAGAATCTCTTGGTGATAAATCCAGGATAAAGTCGGATAAAGGTAAACATTGCAACAACTGGAATGGTTCCTTGATTCAGATTCTCTGTTTCTTTCATTATTCCATTGAGAATTTTTCGCAACACTTTCTCTTCCATTTCATGTTGTTACTTGACAAAGCTAAACTCTTACAGATTGTTTTGAGTGTAACGAGTATTTCTAGACAGTTCACACAAAAAGCTAAACGTTTATCAAAAACTTTCCTCATAACGATTCATACAGTCGTTTCATGTCGAGTTTCACAGACTTACCATGAAAGCTCTCTTTGGAATCGCATTGGATTTTCAATTTTCCTTTTTTTGATAATCACTATTTTCAAAAAAACTTTGTTCTCTTGATTCAACGAACCATACTTTTAATCAAGATTAAACATCGGAAATTTAATTAAACGTTTAAAAGTAGACTAAAACTTATCTTTAGATAATCTTTCTCCATGAAACAGTCAACTTGACAAATATTTGGTTGCAACTTGACTTGACCAATATTTTTCAATTCAATTTTGTATTAAATAAATTGTTTACTCACGAAAACAGGAAATGAGTAACGAAATTTTTATTATTTAATGTTTCAAATCCAATCTGACTCACTGCGTGGTTTCATCATGTGAAATGGTTCAAAGTAGAATCTCGACATTTTTCATTTCCTAAGTTCTTTGGTTTTTTCCAAAAAAAAAGAAAAAGTAATTTTTTTCCAAAATTTGTTCACCTCTGGTTAAGTTATTAGTTTGGTGATTTTTCATTGAGCTTTTCACTTTCATCATGATATGATCATTGGTCAAAGTTATTGAATGGT